TGTAAAAAATAATATTCTTCTATGTTTAGAACAATTACGAAAAGATGTATCTCGAACATATTCAAATGAATTAGAAGAAAAAGAACGAGCACATAGCAAAGAATTAGCTGCTATTCGTCTACAATTAGATCGTGCTCTTGAATTAACTAAAATAAAAGTTTGTTAAAAAATAAAATTATTTTCTTTTTATTTATTGCTTTATCTTAATATCATATATAGGAACGTGAAGCTGATTTACGTATTGAAGATCTTACTAGTGATCTTAATATAAAACAATCACGGATTGATAATTGTCTACGAGATTTAAATGAACTTCAAGAACAAATTGAACAATTCCGTCATGATATTGATATGCGTAGTAAAGAATTGCAACGTGTTCGAAATGAAACACAAAAAGAGATGAAGTATAAAAAAAAACGAAGAGAAAAAAAAGAACAAAAGAAATAAATTTTATTATAATTATTTATTTGTTTTTTTTTGTCTTGTCAGACATCGTGAAGAAAAATTACGTAATGAAAATGAAGAAAAAATTCGTGATCTTGTACGAACACATGATAATGAACAAAAACAATTATTAGATGAATTTTCTAAAGCACATGAATTACTTAAATTACGTATCTCTGAACTTCAATCAAAGTAAATAAATAAAAATAGAATTTTATTTTTGGAATCTGGTTTTCTTTTTTTTTCTTGAAAATAGACTTGATGAAGCTGATGAACGATATCGTAATCGTGAATCAAGATCAGAAGATTTAGAATTAATGACTACACTTCAACAAACAATTTGTTCTTATCAAGAACAATTAAAAAAGATTCATGTAATTATTTATTGTTATTTTTTTATTGATTTATTTTTATATAAATTTATTAAAATTTATTTTCTTTAGGATGAAAAGAAATATCTTAAAATGGAATTAATCAATCGTGAAACAAACTTTAATAAAGTTTTTACTAATGCTCCAAATTCCAGTGTCGGTGTTATAAATCCTTTAGCGTATAATACGAAATTTGTAAGTTTTTTATTTCATATTTTTTTGTATAATCATGAAAAAATTATTTGAATTAATGTTTTATCCAGATTTTCTCTCTCAGAACAGCCAATTAAAACTCTACAAGGACGAGCACCTATTTTTTAGGAGCACAAACACATAGTGTCAATAATCAAGAACTTCGAAAAGATCAACCTGACCTTCGATGAGTAGATCTAGTGGAGTTAGTCTCGGATCCGAATCTGAAAATTTTGTACCCGAGAGGGGTACCGCTATTTCGACCTTCACACTAGATTAAACACTGAGTTGAATATGATTTACAAGGATAAAATAGAATTGCATTATACTATTCTTAGTTTTTCTCCGACGAATGATTAAATATTCATAGAAAATTTATGTTAATCTTTTTATCTATATTTTATTTGATATAAGAATAATTAAAGGAGGGGGGTCGTTTTGCTTGGAAAACGGCCCCCTCTAAAAATC